AAACCCACCACATCCTCGAGCGCTGCCGCTGCTCGTCCGCGACCGCTTATTTGGTAGGCCCAAGCCCACTTTATTCACAGTTAGCCGCGAGATGGCGGCCGTTCCCCTATCCGCGAACTGGGGACGCGCTCGGTAGCATACAGCTCTGCTCTTCCGAGATCGCTACAACGTAAAACAATGGAGACGCATTTATTGTGTAATTTTCATGCCTGCTGGTTGCCATTGAGGTATCTAACTTTCTGCATGTTCATCGTTTTACGGGCACCGTTTGTTCGAACTATGTAGTCATGAAAAAATATGTGAATCTCACGAAACAAGATTGAAGTTAATATTAAAAAAAACAATGTTCTAATCAGGAAAAAATTTAGGCTTACTCGGGGTATTTCGCTCAGCTCTCTCTGTTTATGCACCACGTGACATCAGGCCCTTACATCGTTCAAATGTCATCGATTAAATGAAAAACAAAACAAACAAAAACAATAGATTTTCATCTCGATCACTTCCATCGGTAATAAATATGTGGAGTGCTCATCTGAAGTCAGATAGATCAATTTTCTCCCATTGTTCCCAGCAAGAGGAAACATGTCTCCGACTGACAAAACCACCCACACTCGCGTAGATTACGAATTCCGACACAATGGTGTCACGCAATAGTTCGACAACCACGTTCGCTACATCGTGGATTCAATAATGCTAGTGACTTGAACACACACACATTCACCAAATCCGTGTTTCTAAACAAAATCTACCGTTTTGCAGTTAGATGCACTGATTCCGATTTCCACCGCTTCCATATCGCGATTCCCTATAATTATTGATTGGGATTCACTGAGTAGTGTTCGTGTATCAGTCAGCCACGGTTTTCTGCCAATAAGGCTATGAAAAGGCCTTTTATTGATCTCGCACCCCCACTTCCTCGTACTAATTGATCGCATTATTGTTTACCAATTTCTAGAATGAACCGAATGTTCCCACTTCAGTATGACTGATTTACTCTACCTCTTGGTCCACTTTTCCTCGATCGTAGGAATCCAATTTCGGCGGGGATTTGAATGCTGTTCGACAACAATTCTACCAACTGTTTGATTTGCTCGAAGTTCTCGATCCGACGTTCAGTGACTATCTGGGTGAGTTAAATATCCAATGTGTGTGTGTATTGGTTCGCTCGTGCCTGACGAGTAACCAACACGTCCGTTTTGTGCTCCACATGGGCCTACATGCAGTTGATCGATCGCGTTTTCCAATTTTTATGTGCTCTGTCCCGTATCCGACCTCTTTCTGTCGCATATCGATTGTCCTGCTCAATGTGTGTTTGTGCTGTTTTGAGGAGGAGGGGAAAGACGAGGGGGAGTGGTGTTATGATTCCAATCTGGCTAGAATGAAGTCAACTATCTCACCACAGTCGTTTGTTTGACAAATGATAGCACATTCTACGGGCTGATTGATCACACGTAGGTATCGGGTTCGAGCTGCAATCATACTGTATTGAACTATTTGTGATACCGGCGTCACGTTTTTTGGATGACGAAAGGTCGCCTTTCACGGTCGTGAAATGTTGGCATGGAGATGTGCACTGAAGATTATCGGTCATCAATGTTCGCTTAGGTTTTCACAATGCAAAGTTTAAGCATACCCTTGGAGAAGCGATATGGTAAGTCATACATATAATTTGGAAACAGTGTAAGAAACGACAGCGAACAGGCTGTAATTTCTATTTTGGTGGTGAATTACTCACCAGACCAAACCGCTTGAACAGTTTCCATCCCGTACATTTCACTTTAATAACTCCCTCGCCCACCGAAACGCACTTGTGGTCAGCCATATTCGTTGCCAGCCACACATTTTTCTGTTCCCATCATGCCCGTTTTTAAGCTTGTAGGAAGTTTGTTTGCTCCATTGCATTGTGCTCGACGACGAAATCCGTGAAGTGTCAGTTTTCGCATTCATAGACTGTGCACTTTCGTGCGCCGGTTTTGGTTGCTCTCTTTTGGCCGCCCATTTGGATAAACGATCAGAATGAAGATTGGAATGTTCAGAGTAAATTCAAGCTGATGATAGCGAATTCAAATAGGTTGAAGTTACAAGAATACTCAGTAGATGCATGAGCACCACTGTTTGCGACACCCAGCCACATCGCTCACTGTCTATAACCATCGGTGACCATGTTCTCGGAGTGCCCAGCCTTGGAGTCTAACGGGACCTACGTGTCCCAGTCTCCTAATTAGGGTTTTCATACCCTCATGCCATGTTTTAGTTTAACCGTTCGCGTGGAGTACAGTTAGCTCCATTTTGTTTCCGGTCCGTTTTCACCTAAACGGCTTTCTCTATTCACTTTCACGTATGACGCGATATATTGCAATCCGTAAACATTTTTTCAGAACTCAATAGAAACCATCACCCTACGTGGTATGGTAACCATCACAAGCGAAGTTTCCTCAATCCTATCCGGTATTTTTAATGTATGTTGAATTTTGCATTTCTTTTTCCAGCAGAGTTCTTCCGGACCCCACTCGTTTTCTGTACATCAATCTTTCGGAAGGTCACCCTGACACACATATTTCCAATCCGCTTCTTTAATCTTCAGGCAAACCTTCATAAACTAAATACCACCATGGTTTCTGATTACCGCGAATTGTTACCTACAAGAAGACTGTTCTGATGAGGCTTCATTTACCCGGCCTTTCTTTATTCCTCCTCCTGTATTGCCCCTTTTCATTGTGGTTCCCTGATTTGGTACATCATTTTCTATTAATTAGTGCGTGCTCTTTACAAACGGATTTTGTTCAGTAAACTTTTGTCTCCTCGCGGCATCAGTAAGCGTTGCGACGCAGTAATAAACTGTCTCACTAGAGATGTAGATTTCATACTCAGTAAATTGTAACCAAGTTCAAGGTTGCATTTTTCACGCCAATCATATTGGAGTTCGGCTTTCTTCCAGTGAAATATTTCACTTGTTTTTTTCCAAAGTGTTCATCCTGATCTCTGTCATTCTTTATATGGTTACGCTACCCCTAATCATCTACACGATGACCCCGTATTTCTTCTTTCTTCGATTCATACATTATAGAATCGACCAATGCTAAAGATATGCCCTTCTGTTTCCGATGGTTACTAATCCAATTCAAACGGGAATTCTCCTACTCAGATGTGATGGTCCTGTGGGAAGTGAGTCTGATTATTGAAAGTTATTGTGCTATGTGTGCTCTGATTGTGAATCGAACCTCTACATACACACACACACATATGCATATCACAAATCAGCATCAGTCATGCTCATACACAGACCGAGTAAATGTGTCAAAAATGAACTCGCAGGTCAGTGTCGTGGGGTGTGAAAACAGCAGTTTATTAAGCCTTTCGTCTTTCAGGTGCAAGTTATACGTTCGGGATGCGTAGTGGCTCCTATCACCCAATCCAGGTGTTAACCAAGTTGTCCCGGAGCCATTTCCCAGAGTTTTCCAACTATTCTAGTTTCTCTACGGCTCACCAAACCAGCTGTAGCCTCGGATATTTGCCTTTCGCTCTTTTGCTTTAGTGATATCATTTGAGCAGATGCTTCAAGTGACACTATGTGCGTGTATTTCTCGAATGAAAACCAGGCTGCATCCACCTTGGAGACGGTGATACGTGTCACAAATTGGAACACACGGCTCACGTTTCTCCTCACCGATCCAATTCCACTTTGCAATTGTCCTTCAGATACAGTGCTTGCATTATCTCAGAGTTGGCATCGCTTGCTTACTGAACCGTGTTATTGAAACCAACCGACGACCATTCAGTTGGAGTGGGTTTTATTCCAACTGGCAATGTTACATTCTGTTACGTCATGCCTGGACCTACGACCGACACAATCGCCTTTTCCTTACTCTCCGCCGCCCCTTCCCCACCGAGAACACGACTGGAAAGTGTATCTTCTATGACCATAATGCGATACGCATGTAACAGAAATAAGCGGTTAAATTGGACGTACAAGAACGACGAGGTGACGCACCAATCAGATCGCGTCCTTGACACTAATTGGTGGTCGATCGGACGGTAGCTGTCTGATTTGCCCTTGTCATTCAATCCGGTATCGGTTCGCCTTGGGTATGCTGAGCGTGCTTGTGATCATGCAAATCCATAGGCAACTTGGAGGGTTGTGTGAGCTCAGTCACCCAATGAGCGGCAGTACCGCTTGTTGCATTCACCTATATCATTTCTCACTGGGTTTACCTACTTGCGAGCGGTGCACAAGTGTCTAAGCTCGGAATCCTGTAGATATGTAAACATGAAAGTTCATGCTCAACATCGTGTGTAAAGCCCCTGTTGAATGTACACCAATAGATATTTCAGAGCTCACTGAAATAAAACTAGCAGTTTGAATGTATAGTTTCTCATGGACACTTCGGTCGTTCAGATTTTCCGACCCACGCGAAATGCACCTGGAGGTGAAGTATGCAGAATGACAACAAACAGCTCTCTCTATCGGATCCATGATCAGACCAAAACACCATGTAGAGGGATGAACGGGGTTTAGAAACTGTTGGAGAAAGGCCATCCCACTGCAAAATTATTCGACTATTGGTTGTATCTGGAGCTCAAAGGTGAATTTGATCGTGATCACATATTTAATGTGTGTGTTCAGGTGGGCGAGGGTGAACTAGATCAGATTTACCTGGGTGCACAGTTTTTTTTATTGCAAACGTTGAATTCCAGTATAATCGATCAACGCTGTGATCAAAAACATACTATAAAAGGTAACGTGCGGTGACATTCAGATGAGTGTCAATTTATTGATCCTCGTTTTGCTGAATGTAAGATTTTAATTAGAGGAGAAAGTGGGGAGTGGAAGATTGATGGATAGTTTGCCGATTCACGGAAAAAATGAAGAATAAAATAGAATAATAAATGTCATTTAGTGACACATCTGACCCATAAGGATGACTAGGCAGAAACTGCACCTTGATGTGGGGTGATAACGGTTTTCAAACCAGGAGTTGTTATCGTGTCTGGATCGTCAGAAATCGGACGAAGTTCACTCTCCTCATTCGGCTCGAGTT